AAATACTGAACCTGCAAATAACCGATTCATACATTCAGTGAACACGTTTGGCAATTAAATTATCCGATAAAGAAAGGATTGAAAGGAGTGTATCAAATTTTAAAACCAGAACAAGAACGCAGAGTCTGAAATCTTCAATCAAATTAATTTTTTTTAAGAAATAAAGAAACTTGCCTTTCTTCATAAGATGTGATGAAATTATTCACAGTTGAAATTGCAATGTCAAAGGAATACAATTCAGTTTCAAAGGGCTTGTGACAATTGTTCTTTTCAACTTGACCTTTACATGTCAAAACCAGGAGCAATCAATCAGTTGGAGAAAACTAGTCTTTGGACGTTCTGAATAACTGAAATCCAAAGAAATTAACCAAATTATGTCCTACCCTAAAATGCATTAAGACTCTGATGTAAAAGTCTCTAAATATTCCGTTTTTTGAAAGATAACTTATCGATAATATGTTTTTATTTCTGTAAAGTTTGTTATGCGAACTTTCCGTGTTCGTTCCGAATTGAAATGGTACTTGTTGTGCATGAGAAGTCCTTTCCATTTGTTTACTATTGATATATGTAAATAGTATTGCTAATATGTAACATCTAATTAATATGACTCACCACAATGAGGCGTTTTGCTGTTTTCTGCAATAAGCCAAGAACAGTATTCCTCTACCGATAAATAGTATTTAGAACTTTGCCGCTTAATTTTGGAATCTATAGGCTTTATTCTACTTTCAGGATTTCTAACTCTCGACATTGATAACGTTTGAGAGCTATTTGAATTTGACGTTTGGATTTCAATTTCCAAATCCACTTTCGACATTTCTATTCATTGGCCATGTGGTTGTAGATTTTCGTTTCTGCAACTGACGTCTGATTTTTCAGATTTCAGTTATTTTTCCCCATTTCACTCAGTTTCCTGATTAAGGTGATTTTACCACAACTTAGTTTGACGGCCGGGTTTTAAGGTTTAAGTCAGAAATCCAGCTCTAGCTTAATACAGTTTTCTGGCATGTCGGCTGATGAAGATATTATTTAATCCCTTAAGGCATTTACATGCCAGATTTCAGTCTTTGGTAATCCCCCGTAAGAAAGAAAAAAATGGTGACTGTACAGAACTCAAAACAAGTTGGAGATTCGTTATATTAAGGACAAAAGTCTCTGAGAATAGACATACTGTAACCTCATGCACTGACAAAAAAATTGAAATGGTTCACATGATTACGGCTACAATCTAGGGGACAACTGTTTGCCAGTTACTTGAACCCTTCTATATCTACATACTATATACAGACTCATTTTTCAAGGCTATGCGAGGACGTTTTTGAGCGCCAGTTCACCAATGTTTAACGACTTAAAAAAAAATTTGGCCTGGACGGGGTGGGGTTTGGTATCACTGAGTATGACTTTTTGAGGCTAAAAGTATTTTTCTCTAGTTATATCCATGTAAACAGCTGATCCTGCCATCTTTCCGTGGCAAAACATTGCACTTTTTCGTACTGTCGTAAAAACAGTTTGTCGAAGGACTTCTTAAAGTTCAAGAACTACTTTTAAAATTTAAGTGTTTGTTAAGGATAAAAATAATTTCTTTTTCACTTGGAGAGACTTTTTAAGACATATATTAATCATGTTTCAGAATAAACTTTATACATAAATTCATTAAAGAAAAATTTTGCCAACGATTATAGGTTGGCCTCTCTCCCTCAAT